TAAAGCAGCAGGATACTGATAGACTCCTTATTACACACAGTGTGCACAGGGTTAAAGCAGCAAGATACGGATAGACTCCTTATTACACACAGTGTGCACAGGGTTAAAGCAGCAGGATACTGATAGACTCCTTATTACACACAGTGTACACAGGGTTAAAGCAGCAGGAAACCGAGACTCCTTATTACACACAGTGTGCACAGGTTAAAGCAGCAGGATACTGATAGGCTCCTTATTACACACAGTGTACACAGGGTGTGGCGGGACCACTGTCTGTTTGTGAATTGCTGTATGTCCTCCCCTATATTTGTGTTTATTCCTATGCTTTACCTGCTCCCCGTTTGGGGGACTCCATACGAACGGGTTCTGTTCACCTCTGAAATGGGGACCACCTCGATACCTCATTTGGAATGTTTACTTTGAATGTTTACACCTCGTTGAAATGTTCGCTCCTCGCTAACGAGGTGTGAAAACCACAAACAGCAAGGAAAGCCTTGGTGCGTGTCGACCTTGGGTGGCGGCCCGTTCGTTAAACGAACGCCATTCAGGGGGAGCACTCGTGGATTGTTCCCAAACGATGACCTCCCTAGTGTCCCTTGGAGTGTTCACACCAATTAATTAGAAAATTGACAACTTGCAACATAAGTGTGAAACCACAAGTGAAGTAATTAATGAGCGCTTCCCTGGGTGGCCGCCATTCGTACAGACTAACACTGGCCAGGGGGAGCGTTCTTGTCCCAAAAGGAGACTCTTCCCTTGCCTGGTTTCACCCAGGGACTCTGCGAACAGAGATGGTTCGGAACGGTTACTGTTCTGGGGATCCCTGAGACTGCTGGGGACACTCTTTTGGGAACAATGGCAGTTTTGAGCACAGAGGACCCTGGGAAGAAGACCCCCTACCATGGGAAGGGGGAACTCCTGTATTTGGTTGGTGGGAACTGGGGACGTAGGACTTGGAGTTCCTGTCACCCAAAGACCCCTGGGAGGGGACACTGAGTGGCGGGGACAGGGGAAAAAGGGACTTGGGTTCTGGTTCCACCAGGAGGCCTCTGGGAGGGGACATTGTCATTGTGTATGATCCGCCCATTGCACGGGGAAAGTATAAAGCAGAGTGTGGCCAAAAAAAGGTCGTTGCACCCCTGGAACTGTGTTGTCCGGTTATTGGGGAAAATGGGTCTCTTTATCTATTAATAGCAGGGGTAACCGGCAGGGTTAGCCAGGTCCCGCTACACAGGGTTAAAACAGCAGGATATTGATGGACTCCTTATTATACACAGTGTGCACAGGGTTAAAGCAGCAGGAAACTGATAGACTCCTTATTACACACAGTGTACACAGTGTTAAAGCAGGATACTGATAGACTCCTTATTACACACAGTGTACACAGTGTTAAAGCAGCAGGATACGGATAGACCCCTTATTACACACAGTGTACACAGGGTTAATGCAGGATACTGATCGACTCCTTATTATACACAGTGTACACTGGGTTAAAGCAGCAGGATACTGATAGACTCCTTATTACACACAGTGTACACAGGGTTAATGCAGGATACTGATAGACTCCTTATTACACACAGGGTTAATGCAGCAGGACACTGATAGACTCCTTATTACACACAGTGTGCACAGTGTTAAAGCAGCAGGATACTGAGAGACTCCTTATTACACACAGTGTACACAGGGTTAAAGCAGCAGGATACTGATAGACTCCTTATTACACACAGGGTTAAAGCAGCAGGATACTGATCGACTCCTTATTACACACAGTGTACACAGGATTAAAGCAGCAGGATACTGATAGACTCCTTATTACACACAGTGTGCACAGTGTTAAAGCGGCAGGATACTGATAGATTCCTTATTACACACAGTGTACACAGGGTTAAAGCAGCAGGATACTGATAGACTCCTTATTACGCACAGTGTACACAGGGTTAAAGCGGCAGGATACTGATAGACTCCTTATTACACACAGTGTGCACAGTGTTAAAGCGGCAGGATACTGATAGATTCCTTATTACACACAGTGTACACAGGGTTAATGCAGGATACTGATAGACTCCTTATTACACACAGTGTGCACAGGGTTAAAGCAGCAGGATACTGATAGACTCCTTATTACACACAGTGTACACAGGGTTAAAGCAGCAGGATACTGATAGACTCCTTATTACACACAGGGTTAAAGCAGCAGGATACTGATCGACTCCTTATTACACACAGTGTACACAGAATTAAAGCAGCAGGATACTGATAGATTCCTTATTACACACAGTGTACACAGGGTTAAAGCGGCAGGATACTGATAGACTCCTTATTACACACAGTGTGCACAGTGTTAAAGCGGCAGGATACTGATAGATTCCTTATTACACACAGTGTACACAGGGTTAAAGCAGCAGGATACTGATAGATTCCTTATTACACACAGTGTACACAGGGTTAAAGCAGGATACTGATAGACTCCTTATTACGCACAGTGTACACAGTGTTAAAGCGGCAGAATACTGATAGACTCCTTATTAAACACAGGGTTAAAGCAGCAGGATACTGATAGACTCCTTATTACACACAGTGTACACAGGGTTAAAGCAGCAGGATACTGATAGACTCCTTATTACACACAGTGTACACAGGGTTAAAGCAGCAGGATACTGATAGACTCCTTATTACACACAGTGTACACAGGGTTAAAGCAGCAGGATACTGATAGACTCCTTATTACACACAGTGTACACAGGGTTAAAGCAGCAGGATACTGATCGACTCCTTATTACACACAGTGTACACAGGGTTAAAGCAGCAGGATACTGAGAGACTCCTTATTACACACAGTGTACACAGGGTTAAAGCAGCAGGATACTGATAGACTCCTTATTACACACAGAGTACACAGGGTTAAAGCAGCAGGATACTGATAGACTCCTTATTACACACAGTATACACAGGGTTAAAGCAGCAGGATACTGATAGACTCCTTATTACACACAGTGTACACAGGGTTAATGCAGGATACTGATAGACTCCTTATTACACACAGTGTGCACAGGGTTAAAGCAGCAGGATACTGATAGACTCCTTATTACACACAGTGTGCACAGTGAAAGGATAAATGCTGTTCTGGACTCAACTCCCCTCGATTCTCGCTCCTTCGATCACCACATCAATTGATGGGAGATCTTGTTTAGCAAATAAGACACACAGACACGAAAGAGTGCATAACAAGTTCTCAATGAGTATATTTTCAGGGCTAGCATTTATACACAATTTCTCATGCAAGCAGTGAAGTCTATAGTGTCCTTGTGGTTAATAGTACATACTTGTTGGACATGAAAAAGATAAGCATTTGGATGAAGACGAGACAGGAACATCCTAAGGTCAAGGAAGGTCATACATCCTGTAGAGGAAAGACCTTGGTACAAAATACATCTGCCAAAGTAAGCATAATTATTTCAAACATTATTTTAAAGCATATAAAGCAAAAAGAGTTAACCATTTCACTTCCTTACATCCCCCTCTTTGAGCAATTAATTTGCTCATATCATTGATAAGATCTTCCCAGGTCAGAGAAACTTCCACATGGTATTTTCAGGGGTGCTAGTCACTCCTTGCGGGACTTTCATTAATTTCTTCACCTCGATTCCCATGTGGTAATTCCTAAGGCCCAGTTTTAAAGATGGGTTGATAGCCTCCAGTGGCAGAGAGGAGAATTTCCAATTGTTTCTGTTCTGCATTATGGATTAATTTCTGTATTCTCTTTCTCAGTGTACAAGTAAGATGGCAGTTATATAAAATCATACCCAATACAATCAGGACTATAATAACAAGAGGATAGAAGAATGATTTCATTATCTGGGATCCAGTAGGGGACCAACCTGTAAAAGCATCGTACCAATGATGGGCTAAATCATTCTGAATTTGTGAACTCACCTTAAGGAGTTCTCCTTTTAGGATATGTGTGGCTACCTGTGTGTGTACTATAGCATCATTATGTGTAACAAGATGTTTAAACATATTTTGTTTTCCTTTCATTAAGGAGACAATAGTCTCAAGAGGTAGATGGTAATCTTTAAAAGGCAGAGAGCCTAATAGGGCATTAATATGTTTGTCTAAAGTGATTGTGTCGCTGAAATAATATTGGGTGTCATTAAGATCTAACCAGGTAACATTAGTCAAACATCCTGAAAAGGGGAGAGGTAGATTAATACTTGTATTACTAGTAATTATCTTTGTAGGGAGGTTAGTTGCCAAACAGATATGTCGTGTGCTTATTTCAGTCATGGTAAAATAATTTTCAGGATATATGTGCCATATGCACTTGTTAAGTTCATTTTGGAGTAAGCATGGTTCATAAATAGGGGACGAGTGTCAACATGCATATCCTTTGTCAGTGAGAACACAGTGTTTAAGGGAATAGGTCATATTATCTTTGGGGAAAATATAGTCCCCTGTGTATGTGGGTGCCCACCAGGTTAAATTCCTGGTAAAGAGATCATAAACTGGTACAGGTAATGTGTTAAATTGACAAGCTAATTTAACATCCTTTGATGATGTATGATATAGTGTAAAATAGCATGAGCATGAAAAATGTGAAACATTATCAGTTAACCATTCATTGCATTTAGTGGATTGGGGTTTTAGAAGTAACCATTCATTATCTGTGAGGTTAAGCATCCCTCTAATTTTCTCTAGTTTAGGAATCATTAGTGTGTCTTCTAATGCCAGTCTTTGTTGTTGCATCCATAAATACCTGATGGCACAAGTACTCCAGTTACCAAGATCTGTAGTGAATTTCATAGTTGCAACAGTTAAATTACCTAAATAGTTATACATTGATGTATCTAAATCCAATCCTGTAACCTGTGATTTAACAACAATTGGAGCCCAGTTTGCAGTAGTATGGAAACCAGTCCCTATATGCATGCTGGCCGTGTTTAACTTATTCTTGAGGGTCTCCACGTCTATACTATTTAGTATACCCATAGTGGTTCCAGCACCTCCTAACAGTGTGTCATACCATTCCCTTTTCTGCCTTTTGTTTGCTGTGTTACATATTGTTACAACAGGAGTAGTGATTTTTTAATGACACATGTACAGCTTGTAAGAAGGCAGTTGTATTAACACATGTGGACGGAATAGGTGTGTGTGTGTCGTGGTTGACTTTTGGTTCTATGATAGTGGATGAAGGACAGTAATAAGGTGTAAAAATATAAGGTAGTGTACAGTTCTCAATTGCAGTGTCGTTCATAATGACTAACATTTGGCCCCTTTTCCAATTAATGGTACCAGTTGTATAATCATTATTAAAAGTAATAAGGCCTGTCTGTTTACATTGATATGCAAGCTTACTAATTTTCTTATAATATATATCCCAAACCTGTTTAGGTGGTTTTTTTTTTTTTACCATCAGAACTTATATTAAATAAGGTGGCACAGATGCTGGTGTAATTAGCAACCTTAACTGTGCACATTTCTGCGTTATAAGATCTAACAATTTTCCATGAACCTTCAAACAAACATAATGCATCGGTTTCATTAGCTGTGGACACATTCCATATGGGTAACTGGTACTTCTAAGGGTTATTATTTATCCAGTTCATCCAGATGCGTTCAGTGAATGAATGATTGCATATTACATGCTGATAGATAGGTGGTGGAGAAAGGTTCTTGAGGGAGCGTGTGTGACGAGTGCTAGATGAGGGGCTAAGGCCTAATTGGGCTGGGGGTATTGAAGAATTGTTCATCATGTCAGAGTCATTTCTCCAGAAACAAACAGGTTTCAAACTTCCCATTGACTTGTACTCATAATGGCATTCAAGGAATAATATCAGAGGGAGTATGACAACTCCAGAAAGCATAGCGCACAACATAATCTTGGTCTCAGGTTCGTATGATCCTCTCAATCTACGATATGGTGTGAAAGCCATGATGCTTCGCTAAGGGGAAATTCTTCTCTTTCCGAGTGAGGAGTGGTGTTGTCTTCCTTGGTTCCCCTCTTTGGACACAGCTTCACTCGGGATGCGTGAATCCAGATGTCGTGGGAATCTGTGAGGACAGCGGTTCTGGTTACAGCAATCACAGTAGCAGGTGGTCCGAAAGGGTATCCTCCTTTCTTGGTCCTATTCAGCTGACGGATATACACCTTGTCACCAGGCTGGTATGGATGAGTAGGTTCCTGTGAAGGTAAGGGAAACTGCGAAGAAACATTGCCATATATACCATTCAGTTTTATCAACAATTCCTGTACATATTGTTCTTGTATTAGCTGTAAATCCCCAGACATTATAACAAGCGGTTCCCTGGCCCAGGGTGTGGGAAAAGGTCGTCCCATCAGAATCTCAAATGGAGATAATTTAGTCACCTTGTGAGGAGTCATTCTTATCTCAGCTAAAATAGCTGGAAGATATTTTGTCCAATTTACCCATGTTCCTGCAGTAGCTTTCATAAGCTTCTCCTTAATGGTCCTATTCATCCTTTCAACTACCCCTGAACTCTGTGGATGATAGGGTATATGAAACTTCCAGGTAACTTGCAAGAATTTAGCAAGTTCCTGGGTAACCTTACTAGCAAAAGCCGGGCCATTATCAGAGTTAATCTGCAGAGGGCAGCCATACCTGGGAATAATTTCAGTAGCAAGAATCTTCACTACCGTCCTAGCATCCTCCCTAGATGTCACAAAGGCCTCAGGCCATCTACTAAACTGATCAACTATGACCAGTAAGTATTGCTGTTTCTTACCAATTTTGGGTACATGAGTAAAATCAATCTGTAAGTGTGTAAAAGGAGCAGCTGGAGGGGGCAAATGTTCGTGCTGTGATTTGTGTGGAATATTCGGATGTGTTCTCATACATGGTTCACACAATCTAACAAAAGACTGTACATGCTGCCTGAGATTCCTAATATAAAATGAATTCATGAGGAATTGGATGGTACTTGCTATGCTCTTGTGGCCAGGACCATGGGCCTGACTGATAAAGATAAAACAGCTGGCTTCAGGTATGCCTATCTTCCCCTCTCTAGAGAAAAGATCATTCTGATCTTTTTCTAAACCTTGTTTAATCCAAAAATCAAAGTCAGATTGCGTTGCAAAGGCTTGGAGCTGCAAAAGCAAACTGTCAGTCGGGCATGTGGGAGGTGTGAGCATAGCAGGAAACATTTCATAATAAAGAGTCTTGGCTGCAACTTCTTTTGCCACTTTGTCAGCCAAGGCATTACCTCTGGAAATGTCGTCACTACCCAGAGTGTGTGCCTTGCAGTGGATAACAGCTACTTCAGATGGGAGTAGGATAGCATCTAGGAGTGATTGGATGAGATTTGTGTGTGAAATGGCTTTTCCATCGGCTCCTACAAAGCCTCTTTGTTTCCAAATCACACCAAAATCATGCACTACCCCATGAGCATATCGTGAGTCTGTGTAAATGTTCACTTGCTGTCCTGAGAAAAGCTGACAGGCACGTGTGAGAGCAATGAGTTCTGCAGCTTGTGCAGACGGCTGGAAAATAGTGTCAGCTTCAATGATTTTATCAGGTAGCTGTACCACAGCATAGCCTGTGAGGTATGTACCATCATTTGGTCTGGAGCAAGAGCCATCCACAAAGACAGTGGTCACATCCGGGCCACTGAGTGCTGTGGAGGAGAGGACTGCTCTGGGAGATGTGGCAATATGTATTTGTTCAATGCAATTATGAGGCTCAGATGGTATAGACACAGAGTCAGATGCAGAAGTGAGAATAGCATGCAAAACAGACATAGGACCAGAATTAACAGGACTATAAACAATAGACAGATTCTGGGTATTAAGAAGAATAATCTCATAACCACTTAAGCGCTGGGCTGTCATGTGTTGTGTGGTGAGATTTTTTATAAGCTGAGTAACCTGGTGACTGGTATGGAGTATTGTAGGATGCCCTAGTGTGATAGTAGTGCAGTCTCAACAGCCATTGCACATGCTGCCAATGCTCTGAGACACGCCGGCATACCCTGTACCGGAGCTGGAACTACTTTGGAAAAGAATGCTATGGGACGCATACCGCCTCCGTGCTCTTGTGCACAGACCGCGGCCATGGTTTTACAGTTGTCCCGAGCATACAAATGAAATGGTTTACAATACACAGGTAGTCCTAAAGCCGGGGCTTGTACAATAGCAACTTTGAGAGCAATATACGCAGCTAGCATGTCTGGTGACCAGCAGACATTTTCAGGGCTGTCAGAACGTACAGCCTCCCTTAGGATTGAGTCATAATGGGAGCATTCAGGGATCCATTGGCGGCAGTAATTAATCATGCCGAGGAAGGTGAGCAACTCCTTCCGAGTAGTGGGTTTAGGAATCCTCTGAATGACCTCAATACGTTTTGGACTCAATTGTCTGGTGCCTGAAGCCAGAACAAAACCTAAGTAATCAACCTTTGATTTACACAATTGCATTTTGTGTTTTGCAACCTTGTGACCCACAGTTGCTAAGTGTTTGAGCAAATTGACAGTATCCACAGTGCTTGCCTCATAGCTAGGGCTACATAACAATAAGTCATCAACATATTGCAAAAGGACGGAACCATGACCGGGGGTCCATGTTTTTAGAGTATGTTGGAGTACCAGCGAATAAACAGCTGGGGAATCCACATAGCCTTGGGTAAGCGTGTCCAGGTAAACTGACAGCCTTCAAAAAGTAAAAACCATAAGTAGCTGTGTCTCTTGATCAATAGGTATAGAAAAAATGCATTACTTAAATCAATGACAGTGAAGCAAGTGGCATCATGTGGAATGGCTGTAATGAGGGATGTCACATCAGGGACAATGGGTGCAATGGGCACAATTAAACTATTCAGGGCTCTAAAATCCTGAACTAAGCGATAACCATTACCTTTAGGAACTGGATTAATAGGTGTGTTATATGGAGAAACTACTGGCTTTAGTATTCCCTGCTCTAGAAAAGATTGGATCATGGGGCGAACTCCCTCAACCTTGGCTTCTGACAGGGGGTACTGTTTAAGGTAGATAGGAGTTACAGCTGGTTTTAGTTTGGCTTTGTAAGGGGTGCAGTTGACAAATCCTACATCTAACTTAGATGAAGCCCACACAGAAGAAGGAACATCAGACAAATCAATAGTTTCAGAACACAACATAGACACATCAATACCACCAGAGGGCGTGCAAGTAATAGTAGCTCCCAGAATACCAAGAAGATCCCTTCCCAGCAAATTGACAGGACATTTAGGTATTAAACGAAAAGGGTGCATGGTAGAAGAACCATTAAGAGGACAAAAAACAGACAGTGGTGGTGTGACAAAAGTGGGGGTTGACACTCCATTAATACCCAATGAAGGTGTAGACTTTTCCCTTGTCCCCTGATAATAGGTATCACAGAGACTGGAACACGTAGCTCCAGTATCTACCAAAAATGGCAAGGATCTACCTTCTATGACCAGAATACAAAAAGGCTGATCATCATTAGTAGAGGACAAAAGTGGAAAAGTTGGAGTGTCACCTTCAAGGCAGCCCTATTGGGGCCATGGGATGTGATGGGTGTGCTGGTCAGTGGTACCTGTGAATGGCCCTAATGCAGTTTGGGTTTGCTGGAGCGGGGGGGGGAGAGGGAAGTGCTGGCCAGTGGTGTTGGGAGTGGGCCTGGTGTTGTTCTTGCCTACCGGGCGTATTTTGATAATTGTGGGGTTGTTGGGGCTACTGGGGTTTCCTGGGGTGTGGACACTCATTCCTCCAGTGGCCATGCTGGCCACAGTTGAAACAAGTGTTCCTGTCTATTCCTCCTTGGTTACCCCTGCCCCTATAACCCTGATTTCCCTGTCTCCATCCCTTGCCCCTCTTTGACCACCCCTTCCACAGGCTCTATGTGCTCCATCCCATCCTCTCTCTCGGGCCTGTGTAGGTGGACAGTGTTGCAATCCCTGAGCATAATAAGCAACCTTACTTCCTGAATCTTTTCTTAAATCAAAACAACCTGCATTTTCCTTCTCAATAACCTTGGTAAGAAAATCTGAGCCACCCAAATTGGCCCAGTCTGAAATCAACTGTTTCACAAGCAAAGAATACTGTGGCAACATATTACCAAGGCATGACTGTATTTTAAGGAGATCCATATCATCTCCAGACTTCAAACCTGCCTCATCCTTCCAACACTTGTAAAATCTCTTTACAAAAACACCAATCTCTTCCTTTGCACCTTGCTTACATGCCAAAGCAGTGGATATAGACTGCTTATTCTTCCATAATCTCAACATTTCAGCTTCCACCTCATCCCACATTTTAGCACATCCTGCTGAAGTACTAAGCTCATAAACACCATCACTGCCAGCCACTCCAACTCCAGTACCGTTGTCTGTCTCACTGATAGAGGGTACATTAGACCAATTCCAACCAGAATCTGAATCATACCCTAATATTCCATTTATAATTAACTGTATGTCTATCTGTGTCATGTTCTGTCCTAAACACATTCTTTTCAGATACATTAGGCATGCAGAGGGATTAGTACGGGGGTTTGGGGCACCTTGAATAATATCCTTGAGTACTCCGGGATTAATGGGTTTCATTATTAACTGATTACCAACAGTCATAAACGGGGCAGTAAGATCAGCACCTTCTAATTCTGGCATCTCTACATCATCATCATCTTGCTTATGTACATATGATTTTAACACCTTGCCACTTTTAAGTTTAACTCCTGTTTGTACTGTTAATTTAACTGTACCAGGAGGTGGCGGTGGGTATTCTATATCAGAATCTGGTGTAGATGATGATTCCTGTAATTGCTGTGATTGTGAATTAACAGCTGCAGCAACAGAAATATCCTCTATATCATCCTCTGAGGGGGCATTAGGTACAGCAGGATACATTGCTTTATAGGGAGGTGGGGGTTGTGGTTGGGCATGGCCGGGGGCTAACTGGGTAGGGGGCACAGTTGGTGGTGGATATAGATTATCAGGAGGGGCTTCTATAGAAAAGCAAATAGTATTACTGTCAACAGTTCCCTTTCTCTTAGCCAGGTGTTTCTTAGCTCCCTTTAAAACCTTTCCTGTTACACTACAAGGAAACCAATGAGGGGCTATCAGCAACCAATTTTCACCTCCTGCTTTCATATATTCCTTATCCCAATCTGGATCAGGACCATACCACGGCCATGACTTCCTATCTCCCAAACACAATCCTCGAATCATATTCATATGGAAATCATCATTAGCCCCAGACCTGGGAAAAGGATCAGATGACTTCATAGTCTCTGTCCATCCTGCTAAATTTGACACAAAGGGGATTGTAAGAAATCCTCCTTGTGCTCCTATTCTAGTAACATAATTTAGACATGGCTCCCCTGGGTGGGGTAAAGGGTAAGAAATAGACTGATTATTTCCCATATTTCTGGCTCAGGGTAGAGACACTACCTACTTACCAATAGTGTGTCTCTACTTAACAAGCAAAATAAACACAAATCAGACACAGGGTGACCAAAGGAACGAGAAGTTTGGGTTATTCTAGATCTATGAACCGTGTTCCCTAGAACACTTATAGTATTAATAAACCGGAGACTCCTTTATAGTCTCAAAACCTGTATCTACCTGAGATACCCTGTATCTATCTTAGATACTAACCTGGGTTACCAAAACCCTATATATATTTAGACCAAATGTCTAATAAACCGGAGACCTATTTACAGTCTCAATATAACTAAGTCCTTATACCTTTCCTTTCTACTGGATACAGACTTACTAAACCAAAGGGGGTCATAGACAATTAGCGTCAATAAGACACAAAAAGGCTACTCACCCAATGGTTTTGCTGATCCCACTTCTAGACACCAAGCTGAAAGGATAAATGCTGTTCTGGACTCAACTCCCCTCGATTCTCGCTCCTTCGATCACCACATCAATTGATGGGAGATCTTGTTTAGCAAATAAGACACACAGACACGAAAGAGTGCATAACAAGTTCTCAATGAGTATATTTTCAGGGCTAGCATTTATACACAATTTCTCATGCAAGCAGTGAGATCTATAGTGTCCTTGTGGTTAATAGTACATACTTGTTGGACATGAAAAAGATAAGCATTTGGATGAAGACGAGACAGGAACATCCTAAGATCAAGGAAGGTCATACATCCTGTAGAGGAAAGACCTTGGTACAAAATACATCTGCCAAAGTCAGCATAATTATTTCAAACATTATTTTAAAGCATATAAAGCAAAAAGAGTTAACCATTTCACTTCCTTACACACAGGGTTAAAGCAGCAGGAAACTGATAGACTCCTTATTACACACAGAGTACACAGGGTTAAAGCAGCAGGATACTGATAGACCCCTTACTACACACAGTGTACACAGGGTTAATGCAGGATACTGATAGACTCCTTATTACACACAGTGTACACAGGGTTAATGCAGGATACTGATAGACTCCTTATTACACACAGTGTACACAGGGTTAAAGCAGCAGGATACTGATCGACTCCTTATTACACACAGTGTACACAGTGTTAAAGCAGCAGGATACTGATGGATTCCTTATTACACACAGTGTGCACAGGGTTAATGCAGGATACTGATAGACTCCTTATTACACACAGTGTACACAGGGTTAAAGCAGCAGGATACTGATAGACTCCTTATTACACACAGTGTACACAGGGTTAAAGCAGCAGGATACTGATAGACTCCTTATTACACACAGTATACACAGGGTTAAAGCAGCAGGATACTGATAGACTCCTTATTACACACAATGTACACAGGGTTAATGCAGGATACTGATAGACTCCTTATTACACACAGTGTACACAGGGTTAAAGCAGCAGGATACTGATAGACTCCTTATTACACACAATGTACACAGGGTTAATGCAGGATACTGATAGACTCCTTATTACACACAGTGTACACAGGGTTAATGCAGGATACTGATAGACTCCTTATTACACACAGTATACACAGGGTTAAAGCAGCAGGATACTGATAGACTCCTTATTACACACAGTGTACACAGGGTTAATGCAGGATACTGATAGATTCCTTATTACACACAGTGTGCACAGTGTTAATGCAGGATACTGATGGATTCCTTATTACACACAGTGTAACCCCAAAGTTGCCTCCTGCATCAATGTTCACTCCTCCCCTGGGGGATCAAGGATTATAAACTGTAGACGTAAATTGCTTCCAAATCTTTCTTCTAAATTTCTAGAAGTATTCTAACGTGGTGATGGTGGTGTTTCATGGTTGTCGTGTCGCCTGGCTGAGTGTTGCAGTGTGCCTAGGCTTGTTACCACGCCAACGCAGTTGGTATACAGTTGTGCTCAAACATTTGCATACCCTTGGTAATATATGTATAATTTTTAAAGGCAAAAAATTTTTTAGGCGTTCCTAAAATTTAACTTTTATTAAATATAATTAAAATTAATCCTTGTAATGATCTACATAAAATGTAAAATGTATACTCACTACAGATTAGAGCAGGGGTAGTCAACCTTTTTAACACTTACAGCCCACTTTTGTATCTTTGTTGATGGTAACATTTCTTTACCGCCCACCAGTGCAGGTGCGATTTTTATTTTATTTTTAGAAAGGTGTGGGTTTTTTTGTTTTTTTTAATATATGTACTTAAAAAAAAAAATATATATATATATATATATATTTTTTTTTCTAGGTGTGTGTATAAGGGGTGTAGTGTGGGTTTGTGTGTAATAAGTGCACAGGGTCTATACTGTGTGTAGGTGGGTGATATGTGAAAATCTATCTTAATGTCTCCTCCCTTCTTTATACCTTTTACCAGGGAGGGGGGACATAATGCTGCAAGCCCAGGTGGTAGCATGTTCACTGTAGCCTGCAGCTCCTCCGGCTGCAGGCTGACTCTTCTGTCCTCCTGCAAGCACACCACTGTATTGGAGTGTTGCCATGTGCTGCAACGCTCCGACCAACCTGGTTGCGGGACGAACATAGAGCCTGCTGGAACTAAGTGCCAGCCAGTCGGCCGGTGAGGGAGATCTCCTGACCTGGGAGGGGTTACAGCAAGGCTTTGCATAGGCCGGCAGGGGAGATGAAAGGATCTCCCTTGGTTCATGGCCATCAAGGCCCACTGGGCGTTTTCTGCCAAACCCACCACCGCCCTCCTGAAATCCCAAACCGCCCACTAGTGGTTCTATCGGTTCCTGTGCTAGTCTGAAAGTTTAAAGAAATAATTAATTCCACCTATTTGACAGCAGGCACATGCTTAGGGTCATTGTCATGCTGGAAAGTCCAAGAGCATCCCATGCGTAGCCTTCGTGCAGAAGAATGCAAATTGTCTGCCAGTATTTTCTGATAACATGCTGCATTTATCTTGCCATTAATTTTTACAAGATTCTCTGTGCCTTTAGAACTCACCTCCCCAAAAAATCAGTGAGCCACCACCATGCTTAAGTGGGGATGGTAGTGATTTTCACTATAGGCCTTGTTGACCCTTCTCCAAACATATCGCTTATGGTTACGACCATCAAGCTCTATTTTGGTTTTGTCACTCCAAATCACAGTGTGCTAGAAGCTGTGAGCTGTGTCAAGGTGTTGGTGGGAGTAACCAGGCTTTTTTGCATTGGTGCAGTTAAGGCTTCTTTCTGACAACTCGACCATTTAGCTAATTTTTGTTCAAGTAGTATAGTATTGAGCCCCTTGAAACAACCACACAGTCTTTTTTCAAGAGCAGTCTGTGTAGCGGAGTAGAAGTGTAAATTGAAATATCTCCGCTGGTAGATGTAGTCCGCATATAAATAAAGGGTAGCATAGTAATTCCAATCCCATTCCCCAACAACTGGACGAAACACAGTTTTGGGAGTCAAATGAACTTTTAATGAACCACAGCCGGTTTTATACAAATCCCCATGCAAGGGGTTTCCTTAATGACATTCCAGGGGTGGACCTTGTGGAAAACTGAGTGTACAGTAACATTTCCCATAATCCTTTTCTATACTGGAGAGATAATTGCGTAAGAGCACACCTTTAATTAAATTATCTCTCCGTACAGAAAATTACACAATATTGGTTAAAACATAATAATTTGTATAATTATTTCTCCGAACTCCACGAAAGACACTGGCATCTGAGCGCCCAATCTGTTGAAATACCATTCAGATCTGTTCATTAGAATAGAAAAGCCTTTCGAGGGAAGTTATGGACTGGTCAGCCGCGAGGAGGGACTCCCAAAGCAGTTCCAGACAATTGCAGGCTTTGACCGGTTCATACGGATGAACAGGCGAACGTACATATTTATATACTGGGTAGTCGTGTGTCTGAAGGTCGGTGATTTTCTTTAGGCGAACACCACTCAATCGTGGAAGTATCTGCACAAAACGTTATGGAAGTCCAGCGGTGTTAGGTCGAGGGGACGATTTTAGTTCCATGCACGCGACGACCAAACACCGCTGGGCATTCGTGCGCCAAGATTGCCGCCGCCACATGTTCGGTCATACGAACGACGACCACCCATTCAACCATTAGGTGTTTGCAGTTTCTCTATGTTGCCAGTTCTTAATTGGAGACACACGACTCCCTTGTGTGGTACTTCATTCAGTATTTGTTCGACTTCACGAACAACTTGTCCATGTTCTGTTCGTGAAGTCAAATTAAACGAATGAACATAGTCTTTGCACATTAAAGTGGCTAGTTTTGTCCTGAGTTTACCTGTGGGTTTTTCTTTGTATCCGTAACAATTCTTCTGGCAGTTGTGGCTGAAATCTTTCTTGGTCTACCTGATCTTGGCTTGGTTTCAAGATATCCCCAAATGTTCCACTTCTTAATAAGTGATTGAACAGTACTGACTGGCATTTTCAAGGCTTTGGATATATTTTTTTTTTATCCTTTTCCACCTTTATAAAGTACTATCACCTTGTTACGCAGATCTTTTGACCGTTCTTTTCTGCTCCCCATGGCTCAGTATCTAGCCTGCTCAGTGCATCTACGTGAGAGCTAACAAACTAATTGACTATTTATACACAGACACTAATTGCAATTTACAAAGCCACACAGGTGTGAGAAATTAACCATTTTAACCTGTGTGTGTCACCTTGTGTGTCTGTTACAAGGCCAACATTCAAGGGTATGTAAATTTTTGATCAGGGACATTTTGGTGATTTCTGTTATCATTATGATTTAAAAAGGAGCCAAACAACTATGTGATAATAAATGGCTTTGAATGATCTATATCGTTCATGCAAAAAAAAAAAATATATATATATATTTTATTGATCAGTCATATTTTCAAAATCCAATGCAAAAATTTCATAATGTCTGCCAGGGTATGCAAACTTTTGAGCAGAACTGTACGTTAATGGGGCACACGGTTTTTGTTCACACTGGACGGTCACTCGCACTACAGATTGGATGTGTGGGAACGTTTTTGTTCTTCTCAGGATGGACCAGAGGAGTAGGTCGTCATTGCCCATCATTGTTTTTTTTTTATTTTTTTTTATTAAAATTATTCCTGCTGCTCCCCTTTCTTCATTAGTATAAGACTGCAAAATGAAAAACAATCATTGTCAGTTAATATTTTTATTTAACATAATTTTAAGAGCATTTATGACTACGATGGGACGAGGTGTAGTGCGTGGCTGAACCGGAGTTCCATGTGAAACACCGATCAGTCCTGCTGAGCAGTCTAAAGCACTCCGGTTCGGTATACATTCAGGAGATAGGGCAGAGAGAAGCGCTTGTTGGAAACACGTTGAGGGGAGGTGGACACAAAGGGAGCCAGGGGAGTGATTATAGACTTTTCGAATATGTACACTGTGAACTGAGGCTATCAGCCACATAGCTCATACAAACCATAGTGTTTCCCTTCTACCTACAGGACTCTCCTTTTCATTGTTGACATTAAATGGCTGCTTTGCCTCCCGGAATCCGCCTATTCTTGTCATTTTCCAGGGACCAGTGGTAAGTAGAATGCAGGAAAAGTCACTAAGGGTGTTAAGGTAGAAATCTGAAACTTCAGACATGTAACGGGTTAGTCTGTGGGTCAGGATGTCCTGACATGTAACGGGTTAGTCTGTGGGTCAGGATGTCCTGACGTGTAACGGGTTAGTCTGTGGGTCAGGATGTCCTGACATGTAACGGGTTAGTCTGTGGGTCAGGATGTCCTGACATGTAACGGGTTGGTTTTATGGTCCTGATTGTGATTTCTTTAAAACAAAATTCTCTGGTGCAGGTTTCGGGCCCTTGTTCTGATTCTGACATACCTGCTCTACTGCAGCTTCCATCTTTCAAGGAAACCCATTACTATTGTCAAGGTGAGATATCCGGATTTGAATACTGATAAAACAGAAGTACTAGTTGGTGAGCGCTAGGTTTCTAGAGATACTAAGCTGTTCGAGCTGGGGATTCTAGGTGTTTAGAGGCGGGGATTCTAGGTGGTTACAGATAGGTTTCTAGAGATACTAATCTGTATGAGCTGGGTATCCTAGGTGGTTAGAAGTGGGGAGACTAGGTGGATAGAGCTAGGTTTCTAGAGATACTAAGCTGTTCGAGCTGGGGATCCTAGGTGGTTAGAGGCGGAAAGACGAAGTGGTTAGACCTGGGTTTCTAAAGATACTAAGCTGTTAGAGGCAGGAATACTAGGTGGTTAGAGCTATTTTTCTAGAGATACTAAGCTGTTCGAGCTGGGGATACTAGATGGTTACAGTAAATCCCCCCCCCTCCCCCCAAAGACGAGAGAGAGCTCCCTGTTGAGGGGTCAAGCAGTGGTCTGGTTAATTGAGGGATACCTGCCCGGTATTTATGCAGATCTTCCACCTGGTGGACACTCCCCTAGGGGACCAGATGGAAGACTGGGACACAAATGGTAAAATGACCACAAATAAACACTCCCCCAGTGCATTACAATCCCTCCCCTCTATCCTGGAGATAATTGGGAAGTAATCCAATTATCTCCAAGG